TATTTGGTTAAGAGGGTAAGAGAAACATTAAAATTAAAGTAAAATGTCACCAGTTTTTCTCTTTGACACCTCCACATTCATTATTATTTTGGGCAAACAAGATACCAGACTATATTGCATTTATTAGTAGGAAATCTATTTCCAGGGTTCATTTATGTGTAAAGTTTAGAAATATACTAAAAGGAAGGAGGAAAATAAATAAATATGCTCTTCATTCTCGAGGTTGACTAGTTAAAACTCTTTTTAGAGGACTCTCAGCTAGCAACCAATGGCCTCCTTTTTTTGTTGATAATTCTTTGTAAATTGCTGAGGTTTGATTTCAATCAGATGCTTTATATATGTTAATGGAGTTGGGGTTTGCAATTTTACATAATTTGATTTTAAATTCTTTAAATTTGAGTTGAAAAAGGTTTATGGTTTCCTTTCAGTTTTATTTTTCCTTCTAAAAATTCAATCTTCTATTATCTCCTCGGAAGGAAGGTTGGGCAGTCTACTTCAGTAGTGATACTGCCTTGGAAACTCAAGGAGGGGTCACCATCAGGGCTACTCAAGGGCACATAACAACAATTATCTGATTGGAAAAATAATTGTTAATCTTTTACTTGCTTGTATAGATTTGTTTGTAGGATCAGCATCTGCTTTAGTGCATTCCTTTGATATATTTTAAACTTGTTTCCTTTTTTGTGTATATGTCTGAATGGTGTGATTGAAAATAGTTTATCACCAAGGAAAAGATGGGCTCACAATATTCCTGTCTAAATAAATAAATAAAACCAGTTTCTTGTATATCAGAGTAGAACTGTCCTCCATAGGATTTTCTTGGCTATAATTTTTAAGGCTGCAGATCACCAGGCCTTCTCACTGTCTTATTGGGAAGGTTTGAACCACCAACCTTTTGGTTAGTTGTTGTTATTATGTGCCATCAGACTCATAGCGACCCCTCTTTAGGTTTCCAAGGCAGTATTATTACAGAAGTAGATTGCCCAACCTTCCTTCCGAGGAGTGGCTGGTGGGTGTGAACCGCCAACCTTCTGCTTAGCAGTCAAGTGCCTTAGGCACTACGCTACCAGAGCACAGAGTTGGACCAGACTCAAAGCGACCCCTCCTTGGGTTTCCGAGGCAGTATCACTACGGAAGTAGATTGTCCCATCTTCCTTCTGAGGAGTGGCTGGTGGGTTTGAACCGCCAGCCTTCTGGTTAGCAGTCAAGTGCCTTAGGCACTATGCTACCAGAGCACAGAGTTGGACCAGACTCAAAGCGACCCCTCCTTGGGTTTCCGAGGCAGTATCACTATGGAAGTAGATTGTCCCATCTTCCTTCTGAGGAGTGGCTGGTGGGTTTGAACCGCCAGCCTTCTGGTTAGCAGTCAAGTGCCTTAGCCACTATGCTACCAGAGCTCCCTGGTGGGGATTAGGGTGGTGTAATTCTGATTGTTAGGAGCTCTGGTAGCGTAGTGCTTAAGGCACTTGACTGCTAACCAGAAGGCTGGTAGTTCAAACCCACCAGCCACTCCTCAGAAGGAAGGTTGGGCAATCTACTCCCTTAGTGATACTGCCTTGGAAACTGAAGAAGGGGTTGCTGTGAGTTGGGGCCAATTCAATGGCACATAGCAGCAACATGTTTGGAAAATACTGATTACTATGAACAAACTATAAATAAGAGGCTAATCAAAATAAATTTCTCTGTTCCATTTGATACCCAAGGGTGATGAGTTTGATGGTAAAATCATAGTACATTCATAGTACAATCTGTGTGACAGGTCACGTGTACCATGCTATGATGATGTGTCCATAGTGTTTGATTGTTATACTATCCTTTTGCTCATCCTTGGCACAATCTGTGAGGTTGGTGGGGATTGTTGTTGTTGTTGTTGTTGTTTTGCCGTCGAGTCGGCCCCGACTCATAGCGACCCCTCCTTGGGTTTCCGGGGCAGTATCACTATGGAAGTAGATTGCCCCATTTTCCGTGGAGTGGCTGGGGGGGTTTGAACCGCCAGCCTTCTGGTTAGCAGTCAAGTGCCTTAGCCACTATGCTACCAGAGCTCCTAATTTATATTATAGGGCAAGCAAATCAGTAGAAATACTCTGATATAGAATTGACTATGTTTGGAACTCTGTTAGCATAGTGCCTAAGGCACTTGACTGCTAACCAGAAGGCTGGCAGTTCAAACCCACCAGCCACTCCTTGGAAGGAAGGTTGGGCAATCTACTTCTGTAGTAATACAGCCTCAGAAACCCAAGGAGGGGTCGCTATGAGTCGGGTGCTACTCAACAGCACGTAACAGCAACATCTGTCTTTTAATACAGATTAGAAACGTTTTTCCAAAGTTGTTCAAGTAGGAAATGCCAGGACCAGAGTTAGCAGTCAGTTCTGACCTGAGCTTATTCGTATTTCCCAAAAATGTTGTTGTGGTCAGCAGGAGTTTGTTGAGCATTTACAGCATCATTTAATACTGTGTGGAAACTTCAGAAAGCACTGATTAATACTTTTACCTGAGGTTATTTTTGGGGGTAGAATTAGCTACCTGTAAATAAAAGGTTTTTTAAGATCTAAACTTATAACACCGCACAGAATTAAAAGACAGGAATGGTAAAAGGCAGCATATAATAACTGAATGAAAGGGAAAAGGCACACCAGGCATGACAATCATCAGAACAGAGGATGTGGTAGGGTTGGAGCAGGGCAGAGGCTAGAGAAGACTGTAAGAATCTGGTGGCTTTGGGGAGGCAGGTCCTACAGGTTGTTAATTGGGGTTTGGTTTGGGTAGTTGGGGGCTCCATAAACAGACAGTATGGTCTTTATGGCCATTTTGTCCAGAAGAGCTGAGAGAGGCTTTCCCCAGTATTTAACACAATGAGAGTCAGAAGTTCCTAGAACATCTTTTGGCTTTGTTGCTATTTATTATAATGCAGTCTACTAACAGGATTTCTAGGTTATTAGTGAAAAACTACAGATAGATCAGCATCTTCCTTTCCATGTTAAGGAAAATATTCAAAGGGGTTTTATTTTGCTTTTGATTAAGGATATTCCATTGCTAGGATGAATGACCTCAAAAATAGTAAAAAAATTTAAACTAGTTTATGGTATAAAATCTGCAACTGAATTTTACACTTTTTATTTAGGCCGAAAATATATACGGAAGATATGGCCTTTGGAGCTTCAGCTTTTCCACCTCCATATTTATCTTCTGATATAACTATTCATCCATACACCTATTCTCCTTACACCCTTGAGTCTACACAAAATGTCTGTTCAGTGCCTGGCTCCCAGTATGAGTATAACCAACGCAGTTGTTATCAAGGTTTCCAAACAGTTAAGCCCCGAAGTGAGCACATGTACCCTCTCCCTCAAGAAACTAAAGGTCTTCTTAAGGTGAGTATGTATTGCAGTTTTTGTTGTGTCTATAAGTTGGTCGCTAGCATTTGCAACGTAAAGGATTGGTAAAGTCACACATTATATTTAACTATCTTATCTTCTGTGGGTTTTTAAGAATTTGATCTGACCTTTTAAAAAAATAATTGAATTGTGAATACTTGTGGATTTGCAATTTAAGGTTTTTTTGAGAGCAATAGTTCTCTTATTTCTTATTTTTAATCTTTCTTGCAGAAAAAAACATACAATGAGCCAAAATTTGACAGTAAAAGGGCTGGTGGAACTGTATCATCTGATACAAAATCAGCTAAAGGTTCCCATCATATGTCCGTTCATGCAGAAAATAGCTTGAAATCAGGTAAAAGATGACAAACTGTAGTGTTAGGCTAACTTGGGCCATCTGTGTAGGCTTGCTCATGGCGGCTGCTCTGAGACATGATATTGGGAGATCCACGGATCTGAGGTCCTCAGATCTCCTGTGCCATTCTGGAGGCCTTGTCTCCTGTTGTTTTGTGGGCTCTGATGTACCCTTGAGGTATTATCACCTTACATATTCTTGAAGTTCTTGTTTAAGGTTACATAGTAACTTGGTAATGACCACAGCTTTCAAATCATATCCTTAAATAAAAGCAAACAAAAAAATATGTATGTATGTAGCCTTCGTATTACGGCTGATCATGTTCATTCCTGAAATAACTTCTGTGGTATTCTCTTGGGGTACTTTTAATAGAAGGAAAAATTTCATTGTGGTTTAAATCCTATCCTAAACAATACTAAACCTGGGGCATTACAGTTACTCAGAGAATAAATATCATTTTCATTCGTGCCAGAAGTTATGTCTGCTCTAGACTTGAAAACCACTGTTCTACTTTGTGGCTGAAAATAAATGATTCTACATGGTGTCTGATTCCCCACCACCACCACCACCCACACACACAGTAAGTTATTTACTAGTGCAGTTTGATCACAGACATCACCTGTTTATTTAATAATTTAAAACGTTTGTAATAGTGAGTGGTCTGTGAGTGAGTAATCTGTGAGTGGTCTACCACTTTATTTACATGTGTAATTTCTATTTCTTGGTATTTAAATTTTTCTTTTTTCATCGACTTCATTCAAACCATCTGGTACATAGAAATATGAAATAAAAGTTTACTAGTTAATTGTCATAACTGACTTCGTAATTAAATATAGGGCTTTATGGTGTTCTTACCTACATCAGCATTTGCATTTGAAGGAGAAAGATGGGAAAAAGGTTATAAGTTTAATTCTGCTTGCCTTCCTCCAGTTTGTTCAAGCAACAAAATATGGAACTTTTATATACTTAATATGTAAGAGTCACTTTAAATGTGCAAAACTTTAAAATATCTATTATGAATAATTACATTATCTAGCTGCATCATGAAGTTGAGGTAGATTATTTCATACATTTTGGAACTACTCCTTAAGTTTGTAGTACATTTAGATTTTCTGCTTGGTAACACTCAACAGAGTGATTGATCCTGCTGGTCATTCATGTTTTATACTGTTACACAGAAGGGATAACACCTCTAGCCACAGTTAGAGTGTTTTGACAACAACTTGTTGTTGCATAAGTAACAAAGCACTTTCTACTATAGAATTTAAGCTGGAGGACAGGCCAACAAGCAGTATCTAAATTTTGATAACCTACTTTCCATTCTACAATTACAGATACTCATCATAAACGAACAGACAGGAAATCCAGAATCATTGAAAAGAGTGGCTCCACCTCCAAACCTGAGTTTGAATTTACCAGGTTGGACTTTCCTGAACTACAGGGTCCAGAGAACAGTGGTACATTAGAGATACCCAAGGAACCCAAATGGGGCCCTTTGCGTACTGCTACAGCTGACATTTCTCTCTTGAGAGAAATCAAACCAACCACGGTATTATCAGAGGTCAGTTGAGGTTCGTTCTCTTTCTTTGTCTCTTTCATTTCTTCCCTTTCAATAGCTTATAATATGCTTGAGATCTACCAGGATGTAGCATCTTGTGTGCATTGACCATTAACATCATTACAAGAAGTCATTTTCCTATTAAATTGGCATAAGAGGTGAGGTTAGTTATTTTATAACAATCAGTTTCTTTGGGCAGATATTTAATTGCTTTCATACCTGGTGTTGGCCCTAGGGTGTGTGGCCTAGCAGAACAGTTGTGGAGCTCCATGTTTTCATTAAGTGGGAGAAAGATTCAGTTCAGACCACAGTCAGTAGATACTTACAGCTTATGAGATACAAAGAAGTGGTACAGGGTGCATGGGAGTCATGGGTAGGGGACATGAATGGGTGGAAGGGTGACGTGTGAGTGTTACATATTTGGACATGAACTAAGGTACATAATGTTTATGTATGATTTGCCATATTGCTGAGACTACAGTCTTTTTTTTTTTTTTTTAATTCCAAAGGAAACCTTTTTTCTTGATTGTATTAGTAATACACTTACTCCATACTTATCAACTATCTCATTATCTGATATTGTGCATTTACAACAGTAGTAAAAATTCTGTCCATCTGTATTGTGCATTAATGATGTACATCTAGCAGTAATGAATACTGAGGTGAGTCTGGTCTGCACCTTAAATCATGTTGATAAGTGCGGAGTGGGTGTATCTGTAAACACCAGAAAAATGTTGAGAAAAGATAATTTTCTCAAATCATACAATCAATCTTAACACCTACTCTTTATTTTTATAGTATATTTTGAGAATCGGGGTTGGGGGTATTGGGTGGGGTTCCCTTCAGTTTGGAGTCATGCATCTATGGACTCTTCTGTATTAATTTCAAAAACTTCTTTGGAGGTTTTTTCCATGTCAGTAACCAGTCCTTAAAAACATAAGTGTTCCATTGAATCTGTAATATTACTTTGCTGTAATTTATTTAGCCATTCTTGAACAGGTAAGCTGTTTCTAACTTTTCGTTGTTGTTATGTGCTGTTTGAGTCAGACCTGACTCATAGCAACCCCTACGTGAGTTTCCAAGGTGGTATCACTACAGAAGTAGATTGCCCAACTGTGAGCAACTAAAAGTTCAGGCTGTGTTCTTAATCATTTTATTTTTTATTACTGGCTGCAATTATAATGAAATAACAAAATGAGTAAATACATGAAGCATGTTGTTGATGTTGTGTGCTGTTGAGTCAGACCTGACTCATAGCGACCCTTCCTTGGGTTTCTGAGGCAGTATCCTACAGAAGTAGATTGCCCAGCCTTCCTTCTGAGGAGTAGCTGGTGGGTTTGAATTGCCAGCCTTCTGGGTAGCAGTCAAGTGCCATAGGCACTTCGCTATCAGAGCTCCTATATGAAGCATATTAGCTTTAAAAATTATTTTGAATCTTGTCTACTTCATGGATTAACACTAAAGTTACCTATTTATTTTTACCTCTAGTGCTGTTGGTCAATTGGAGGTAACTTTTAATATACTCTTACATCTCCCACCACCAAATAATGTCACTGTATATCTTACTTTCAGTTTGTGAGGCAACTTTTTGTCTTTAAAAAAGAAAATCCTGTGTTAAAGAGGCCTGTTTGGAATATTTATGGAAAAATATTTATGCAAAAATTATATGTGCAGATATAGATACATGTATGTAGGCATATATAAGTATGCACTGCATATATGTCTGAGGTCCCATAAAGTTTTTTATTTTTTAATCTCCACCCCCCCACCCACCCACCTACCCAGAAACCAGAAAGGATTTATTGGGGACACAGGGCATGCAGAGCTGGGTGGTTGCTTGGGAAAGTGGATGAGTATTAGTTCTTCCCCTTGGAGCCTTGACATAGGCTGCCGTCACTGGCTGGCTGCCCTACCGGCTACTCCTGGTAGTGGATCCTCTGTTGCTAGATGAGTTACAAGATCTGGCTGAAGGCCTTGCTACACTGGTAGTCCTTACAGGGTTTCCTGCCTGTGTTTACACTGATGTTTGATGACGATGGAGTTCCAGATGAAGGACTTGCCACACTGGCTGCAGACTTTCTTGCCTATGTGCAGCCACTGGTACCTTATAGATTGAAGCTCTAGCTGAAGACCTGGCCATATTCACTTCACTTGTAGGACTTCTTGCCATTGTGGATGCACCATTGTTGCTTGACATGCAAACTGTGGGTGAAGGCATCGCTGCATTGCCCACATTCCTACAGCTTCTCGCCCAAGTGAATGTGATGGTGCCAAATGAAGCCAGACCAGCTGCAGAAGCACCTGCTACCCTTGTGACAGGCATAGGGCTTCTTGCCCATGTGGATGGCCTGGTGCTTCAGCAGCAGTGAGTTGTGCTTAAAGTTCTTGCTTCAGGTCTCATAATGGTATGGCTTCCTACTCTGCATGCTGACCTGCCAGTCTCTGAAGCCCACACCCCTTTGGCCACTGCCTAGCTCAGGTTGGGGCTGCTGCTGGTCCTGGAGCTCCATGACCAGCATGTGGTAGGAGCATCACACACCAAGTGCCCCTCTTCTGCATGCAGGAGGATCCAGCCCCTGAACACTGGCCTGCTAGTGTCTCCAAACTGGCCTCTGGCTTGAAGCTGTTCCCACACTTAGATCTCTGGGAAAGGCTCTGGAAAGAGCCTCAGCAGGCTCTTCAGCACCCCTTCATCCTAGCCCACTTGTTCCTCAGGAACATCTGTGTGGTAGTTCAGTTGGTGTGTCAATTTGGCTGGGCCTGATGAGTAGCTGGGCAGCTGGATGTAGTATTCCCCATGAGGAGACTGGTAATCAGCTCCATGGTGGAATTTACTGTGAGCAGCTGAGTAGCTGCCTTAGGGAATGTGGTCTGATTCCTGAATATAAGAAGAAGCCTTATGGCAGTTTATGGCATGCTTGGACCCTGCATGTAGCCATGTCATTGTTCAGCAGCCTGCCATGCTCTGCCAACCTTGGGACTTTCAATGGACTTAAGTTAATGGCCTGTTGTGTGGTTTGGTAACATTGGGACTGTGCCTTTTTACTTGTCAACCTTGGGCAGCTCAGCCTCAGCAGCCAGCAGCTGTCTGAGTGAAGAAACGCCTTTAGCTCCAGTGGGCCAGGAGCAGGAGGCAGAGCTGGACCCAAGGTTGAGGGGCTTTTACCCAGCCCTTGGAGCCTGGCACTTTGAAGTTGGACTTCTGTCTCCTGAACTGTAAGAAAATAAACTTTGTTTGCTCAGGCCATCCCATTTGTGGTACATTCTTGTCAGAGCGGTACTAGTTAACCAGAACAATCTGGCTGGAGAGAGTGGCACACTCTTGGGCTCTGACTCAGGAAGTATTTTTCCTGATCTCAACTTTCCTGGACGTGTTGAGGATCCAGATCTGACAGCTCCTTCTCTGGCTGTGGCTAGGAGAGCACTTTAGGGCTGGGAGTGTTGGGATGTGATATTGATGTTCATGGTGGTGATGCAGGGCCTTGTGATGGTGGGCTCTAGGAGGTATCCCCAGTGAGGAGAGATTGACAGGGTGAGGCAGGAGGGGACTCCTTATTGTCACCTTGGACTGCCATCTTCTCCATAGCTTTCTGATATGCGTACCTGAGATCCCTATCCTCACTGTCGGAGTGGAGGAGAAGGTCTCAGGGTTGCAGTCCCTACAGTTCATTGGGCTGCAGACCCTTGCTTTGAGCTCAGATTCCAGCTCCCACAACTCTTAACAGCCAAGGCAGGGAGAGGTACTAGCACCACTGGGTCAGGAGCAAACACTCCTCTGCTCCCTTTTCCCAGCTGGGAACACAGTGCCCATGGAGAAGGGCATGACTCCATAAAGTGTAGCTGCAGAGAACAGTAGCCACCTGGGCTCAGGCCTGCGGGTGCAGACTAGTTGTGTGACCTCAGATGTTACGTGATTTGGATGTTATGCAAGTACACATTCTATACAGGTATGTAGTATGGTGTTTGTACACCGTTTAAATCACACATAACATCCTGTTTGACAGAACATATTTTGGATATTAAGTGATGCATGCCTGTTAGCATATGGTTATGTATGTATATGTAAGTATATAGGTGTATGCGTATATATATATATGCACCTATTTGACTATGTGGACATATATACCTATAAAATGGGAGCTCTGGTAGCATAGTGCCTAAGGCACTTGACTGCTAACCAGAAAGCTGGCGGTTCAAACCCACCAGCCACTCCTCAGAAGGAAGGTTGGGCAATCTACTTCCATAATGATAATGCCTTATTATAGGAGGGGTCGCTATGAGTTGGGTCCAACTTGATGGCACATAACAACCACCACCACCACCTGTATATATAATAAAGGACATAAGGGGGACAGTTACAGATACTTCTGAGACATAACCAAACATCTCACGGAATTGGTTTTCAGGGTTTGAAGGATTAGGACCACAGTCTTGTGGAACATCTCAGTCAGTTTGCATAGCATAGTTCGTAAAGTTCTGCATCTTAGTTTAGTGGGTAATGTGTGGAGTCTTAAAAGCTTGAGAGTGGCCATCTAGGATACAACTGTTGGTCTCCATTTGTCTGGTAGAAAAGAGAAAGGAGAAAACCAAAGACTTAAAGAAGAAACTAATCTACAGGACTACATGAACTATATCTACCCTGAGACCAGAAAAACTAGATGGTGCCCAGCTACCACTACTGACCATTCTAATCAGGTCCACAATATATAAACCCTGATAGAATGGAGGAAAAATGTGGAACAGGGCCTTACATTCCTTAGGAGGGGGCAAGACCTTTTAGGCTGGTTGTTAATGGAGGGATCCCTGAGATTCTAATACTGAGATACTGTTTGAACCTTGAACCAAAACTAACCCCTGGGGTTACTTTGTCATTAAATAACAAATTGGCTAGAAAAATAATGAATACCACCTGTGCATACTGTACTCTTAAACAAAACTAAATAAGACTAAACGACCGACAATTACTTTAAAATTAAGATGAGAAGGTAAGGAGGCAGGGAAACTAGATTCATAGGAAATAGAACAACCAGAATGGAAATAACACTGTAACCAATGTCACTGAACAGTATTTGTGGAATGGGAAACTCAACTGCTGTGTAGATTTTCACTGGAAATAAAATATTAAAAAAAAAAAAAAAGAAAAACCTAGTCCTAAACCTAATCCTATTCCAAGCCCACTGTTCCTAACACTAACCCAAGTCATAACTGGAAACCTAGCTCTAAGTAACCATAAAGCCTAGCAATAACTAACCGTACTCTGACCCTAATCCTAGCACTATCCCCAGCCCTGACCTTAGCTTTAGGGGAAGAAAAACATCATGTAGGCACATCTGCTGACGTGGAAGTTTTCTATAGTAAGTTTTTTGAAAAATTGTTCGGAGTTCTGTAAAACACCACATAACATGGATGAACTTGGATGACATTGTGCTGAGTGAAATAAGTCAATCACAGAAGGACAAATACAATATTAACTCATTGTAAAAAGTCAAGGAAAGGCTTATATATGGTAGGAAACTTTTTCTGTTGGTTACCAGGTATGGGAAGGGAGGGGAGGGAACACTGCAAAAAAAAAAAAATTGACCTATGTCATTTTAGTTTTGTGTATTTCACTATACATAAATTATATTTCAATAAAATGTATTTTTAAAAATTGTTTAGTTATGAGAGTCATGTAAAAAAGGTAAGTGTGAATATCATAGGCAAAGAAGTAGAAAGTTACTGAGCTGTAGGTGGTAGGTGGTATTTACATCTAGGGAGTGAGATTTGGCAGAAGGGAGTTAACTTTTTACAGAACGTACTTATGTATTTGGATTTCTAAATTAACATTTTTGCAAATTTTAACAATGACAAGGAAACTACACAAAAAATTCTATTTCAAATATTAAGAAAATAACTGATTTGCTTTTTAGGGTGAAATAGTGATCAAAAATAAAAATCCAACTGAATCTGTAGCTGATAATACTGCGAACAATTCCTCTTCATGTACAAGAGGTAAGAATGGCTACAAATACTACTTTTTTAAATTGGTTGTTTATTTTCTGTGTTCATTTTGAACTCCCATGAAATGGAAATGTTTTTGCTTTAAAGTCTTTGAGGCAGCTAATGGGGTGTTGATAAATTAACAGCAGCATTAATCTAGAAAATTAAAATAAGTAAATGAGATTCCATATCTCTGCTTAAAAGCATATTGTTGCATGCCCACAAGTGAATTCTGACTCAGCAAAGCTGTATGACAGAGTGGAATTGCCTCATAGGGTTTTTTCAGAGGGGAGCAGATCACCAGGTCTTCTCCCACAAAGCAACTGGTCAGTTTGAACCATCACCTTTCAGTTAGCGGCCAAGTACGTATCCATTGTGTTACCAAGGCTCCTTTTAAGGAATAGAAACCATGAGAAAATAAATCCCAAATAAAATATTTATGCAATGAAGTGAAAAATTTTGTGGACAAAAAATCATTAATTCATTATTACCTATACCAGTGGGTCACAAACTTTTTGGTCTCAAGATCCCTTAATACTCTTAGAAATTGAGAGCCACAAAGAACTTCTATTTATTTGAGTTATATTTCTCAATATTTACCATATTAGAAGTTAAATTGCAGAAATGTAGAATGTTTTTATTAATTTACTTTATAATAGTAATAATAAGCCCATTACATGTTAACATATATATGTTAACCTACTTTTATGAAAAATAACTTCCAAAATTGAAAAAAAAGAGCACCATTTTACGTTTTGTAGCTCTCTTTTAGCATCCCTGGCTCAGTGGATCTGCTTCACTGTCACATGTTGTGCAGCCCTAGGGACGCTGCATACTCACGAGAGAAAGGATGAAAGGAGGAAAATCAAATCATGTATTAGGATTACTGTGCAAGCAGTTCTGACATGGACCACCTAAATGGCTCTTGAGGACCTTGGACCACACTTCTGATCTGAAAACTCTTGATTTGTCCCATCCTAGCTCAGAAATAATTTAGAGAGAGTTTAATAGAGTCTGCCTTTTAAGTTTATAGTAGCTTGTCCTAATGGAAGAAATATTTCAAGAACTATTCCACAGTTACCTAAAGGTGCTTTATTTATTTATTTTGGCATTCTTCTGTTTGGTTCATATGTGGTTCAATAAATTCTTCACTTTGGAGGCTCCTGTGAAAGCTGCAAGCTGGGTTTTGATAAGCTTGTCATGCTTTGTGGTACAGCCATGGGCTGCTGACAAGTGGTCAGCTTCCAAAGGTCACCTACCAATATCATGATGGATGTCCTTTTGTTTTGTCTGTATAGAGAGTTTCATGGGCACCTAAGAAGTAGTATTGCTGTATTTAAACCTGTGTTCTAAAAAAATAAATTACTAGTTAACTGATAGCTGAAGTCTAGTTTAACTTCTGATGATAAAAGTACTTATACTTACTAGGGTTAGTAGGGCCAAAATTTGATCTTTAACTCTGTTTGCCACATGGACATAATTATGGACTGTTTTTTAACTGAAACTTGTCTACCCATTCAGCCTTCCATGTAAAAAGACCAATTTCCATGAAAATCAACCTTACAAGTTGAAGGAAAGAATTTAGCGTACATGCTCCAAGAAGAGAAACAAGTTATAGTGAATACTATAGTTTCCAAGGGGTTATGTTGAGCAAAAGCCCAAATTTAATTATGCTCAGAGTAATTATCTCTTGTGATGCGTGTTTGAATAATTAAGTTTTTGTTTTACTGTTGAGATTGTTCAACAATTTTGGTTGTCTTTGAGCAGAATTATCTTGGACACCAATGGGTTATGTTGTTCGGCAGACATTGTCTACAGAACTGTCACCAGCCCCTAAAAATATTACATCCATGATAAACCTAAAGACAGTTTCTTCATCAGCAGATCTTAAAACTGTTAGTGTAGCATCTTCTGCAGTTTTATCTTCTGATCCTTCCTACAACAAAGAGAAACGTATTGTTCATCTTACTAAAAAGGTATGCCTTACAAAATACTTGAATACCACATTTTATGATAATCTAGTATATGTTACTTGTTCTTAGTTAATTGCTATTTATTTATTTATTTAAGAATAGCATTTTACAATTTCATTTATTCCCTACAATTCAAATAATTGTCATTTTTATTGATCCCTATACTTGGTTTTTCAAGACACCTTGGTTGGTCCAGATATTGTTCTTGATTTTCACTGTGAACTGTTATAATGAAACTGTTAGGATGAAACAGTCTTACTTGGTTAGTACAATCATTTCCTATCTTTTTGAGGATGAGGCTGCTTTTTGATATCTAAAAATATAGCTCATCCTGCATAAATGAGAATTGTGTGTTTATGATTAATTTAACATGGGAAAATATAATGGTAAAAGCAACAATGTCAGACATAAATGCTTTATTGATCACAATTTTCTACGTTCGTTTAAAGACCAGCAGTGTGTGTAGATGATAGGTCCTTCCTTTGGCTTACAAGACAGAGCTCAGCTGGCACCCGAGCTCTTCTGCCTTTTGAGATCTATTACCACTCTGTCAGAGGACGTCCAGGTGTTTAGTATGCAGACTGGACAATTACCCTTAACTTAGTCTAGTGCTCTGCAACAGCTCTCACGTCACTATTCAGGCCAATTTTCCTAAAACCTGTAGACTTAACGTTCTGTCAGTTAACAGATTTTATTTTTCCAGAGTCTTTTGTTGTTGTTACTATTTTTAGAACAGTTTATTATAGAAAGTTTCTAAAATAAAGTAAAAAGAAAATTGGGATCTCCAGTAATTTTACCATTCAGATGGATTTGCACTTTACAAAACTGGGCTATTAGTGGTTAATGTGTTTTTCTTTTAAAACTTTTTGTATTATGACTTTTTAATTATAGAAATGATAAATTGTAATACTACAAGGATACAGTTTTGGGAAAAAGTACTCTCTCATGTTCAAATCTACTAGTGTTCTAAATGAATTGGGCATTACAACTATTTTGACAGTTTTTTCTCCCTTTCAAAATTATTCTAATGAATGCTGGCTCTTTGTAAGTAGTGAATGAGAAGCCCAAGTCTGGATAAAATTTTCATGTAGTTATACAACTGGTATCTTATTTTTTTATCTGGTACATTGAATTAAAGCATTATAATAAATGTTCTAAAAATCTGTTTTTTTTGCTTTGTTTTTTATTACAGTCCAGAGCATTACAAAGTGGCAACCCTGAGCAAAATGAAATCTCAAGAAAGAATAAGAAAAAGAAAGAAAAGTCGAAATCAAAATATGAACTCCTAACAAAGCAGGAGCCACCAAGGATCGAAGTACATTTATATTACTATTCATCTTTCATGATGTAGTAAATTCTTAGTGGGAGCATGGATCCTACTAGTTTCCTAAGTGAAAGTCTCCACCGTTTAGTAATCATTTTCTGAGTACTAAAGAAAATAGCATTAACCATTTTCTTTACTTCTTCACCTTTGCTTCCCAAAACAAGGCCTCTTTCATAACAGGCACTCATTAAAGATTTGACTGAATGAATGAATTGTCCAGAGACAGAACTACTTATATTAGAGTTAGTAGTTTATGTGCCATGTTACTGATATTTGTACCTCAGAATCTTCTTTACCTGTCTTTTCCTTGCTTTAGAATGCTAACTTTTTCAGGGCTTCCTTTTCTATCCAGACATCTCATAGTGATGTGATCATTGTAGAAAAGTAGAATACTGTAGATCCTTTGGGAGAGGAGCTCTGGTGGCATAATGGCTAACTCATTTGACTGCTAACCATAAGGCTGGCAGTTCAAACCCACCAACCACTCCTCAGAAGGAAGATTGAGCAATCTGCTTCTGTAGTGATACTGCCTCAGGAACCCAAAGAGGGATCGCTATGAGTTACTAGTTAGTGCTGTGATCTTTAATTTTATAATCTTCTAAAGATTAAAGCAGGAGCTCTGGTAGCATAGTGGCTAAGGCACTTGACTGCTAACCAGAAGGCTGGCGGTTCAAACCCACCAGCCGCTCCTCGGAAGGAAGGTTGGGCAATCCTACTTCCGTAGTGATACTGCCTCGGAAACCCAAGGAGGGGTCGCTATGAGTTGGGGCTGACTCGACAGCACATAACAACAACAACAAAGATTAAAGCAGAAGTCCTATGTAAGAGTATTTGGACTGTTTTGTATTTCCTTTAAGAACTTCTGTGGAGGTTTTTTAAAGTGGAAAAATAGGAGCAAAAGATAGATTACATTTGGGCATGTTTGCCTTGTTGTGATTACTAAAGAGCTAAAGGTGTGTGTGTTTTATTTAGGATGCTGAAGAGTTTCCCAATCTTGCAGTTGCATCTGAAAGGAGAAACAGAGTAGAGTCACCAAAATTTCAATCTCAACAACAGCCACAGGTAATTGAAACCACAATTGCATTAGGTTTAACTTTTCTTGCTAAACTAAACTCTTAGGAAAAATTACTTTTCAAACTTCTTTGTATACTGAAACAGATTGTTTTGTTTGGATTCATTCCTTCATTACAGTACTATGTTGAAACAAAATTGCTTTCAAGCTAAAATGTCTTGTGGGTTTTGTAATAAGACTATTGGTGGTAACCACTATAGCTATGGGGGGATGGGGGATGACACAAATATATATGAACTCTGATTTTAAAAAGTACATTGACTCAATTTATTCAGGAAGCCCAAAAGTTCTTTAGTGAGGCAGTACTATCTGGCAGAAGAAAAATAAGAAAGCCACCAAGATGTCATCCTTGGTAGTCAGAACAAGCCCAAGGGAAGAGGATTCCTCTCATGCCCCCACTGTAGACTCTGGGATGAAGTTGTGCCTGGTAACCCAGGTGGGGAACTTACGTGCTTTTGACGATTTTTTTCTCTAGCGTTTTCATTAGCATACTGCTTTTCAAAGGGGGGACATTTTCACATTATGAAAAATAAAATTCTAAACTCTTGTGAGAATTAGCTTTCATTCACATGTTATCATTTGGTCACTTCCCTTCCCTGCAGAGGGTCTCTGCAGCCTGGTGCTGTTGCATTCAGCACTCTCCCATCAATGTGAGCTCAGCCAGTAGAGTCTTGAGGTCAGGGAAGAGGAGAATAGTTGGCAAGTAAGTTGGGTGGAAGTGTTAGAGTAGGTGAGACAGCAAATGGAACTTTCTTGTATACCTTATATAATCTCAAAACACAAATCATAACTATTCAAAAATAATATTTATTTAGAGTGTATCAATTTTTGTGCCTGAATTTAGTGCTTATCAGCTGGATATGATTTGGGCTTGTGTAAATTTTGGTCATAGCATTAAAATTTCATGACAGTTGACTTATTTAGGCAGTTGGAGAGCAGATGATGCTGGTAATAAACTAAGCAATTACCCTTGCACACAGACTTTTGTAGCCAATGACTTCTTATAAGCAATGAGTGCTTGTCTGTAGATGGATGCTGTTACTCAATGCAGATGCAAACAGAAACGTAGCTGGGCTAATAGAAACTGAAAGAAAGAGGACATAAAGAATGATAATAATATTGGCAGAAAAAAGTTAAGTCTTTTTAAATGATAATAATATTAAAAAGGAGTTAAGTCTTTTTAAATGATAATAATATTGGCAGATAAAAGAGTTAAGTCTTTTTATTCTATTTAAAGAATAAAATAATATTGGCAGATAAAAGAGTTAAGTCTTTTTCCTTAATTACTTTTCAGTAATGTTGTTTTTAAATTTTAAGATTTTTATAGTCTCTAAAATGATTTCTTTTGACCTTTAGTAATGTATTACTTTATCATAAAATGAAAAGCATGGTTTGTAGAATATAGTATTATAAATAAGCTTTCGATATTTGCACTTTTTAGAATAATTTTAAAAGTAGTGGAAAGAAGAGTGAAATTCCGGTACAGCTGGATTTGGGTAGAATGCTCATGGCACTGGAGAAAAAGCAGCACTCCCAGAACGCAAAGCAGTCCTCCAAACCTGTGGTATTATCAGGTAAGAGAGTCTTCTTCCCCTCAGACAAGTGGCTGAAAATCCTTCTCAGAAAAATGTCTTGTAAATGTAATCTCTTACAATCAAATGTTATTAAAATACACTTTTCAGAAGTAGATCTTACTAGAAGGTGGGGGGTTTTCCACTTGAGATGATGATATTGTGTACATGAAAATCTCATTTTCTAGTGTTCTTGGGGCCCCTGTGCCCAAAGATCTTTATGGTACAGGCGAGGAAGCTGAGTTATGTAGAATATTACCCACCTGTACATGCTGACAACTGGTGACAGTGTTGAGTCAGTATTGATTTGGTTGTTCTCTTTCCTCCAAAACATGGTCTCTTAGAGCTGAGACAGGTAAAACTGGCATCATATCATGAAAAGAAACATGCATATTTACCATTATAGTCTCTTAAGTATGTTTCCTGCTTTTGAAGCTATTCATTTATTTTTATATGGTACTATATTTGTAAAAAGAAAAAATAGGTACCTAGGAAAATTGATAAAGGAGCTTTACTCAGCATAATTGCTTGCATTGAATTTTGTCTTTGAGTTTATTAGTAGTCAGTAAAAAGGGAAATATGCTAAGTTTTATGCCATTAGTCACAGAAAATATGAGTATGTTCTGTCTCTTGAGGGGAGGTACAATTTTTCATAGGAAAATTCAAACAAAAAATTATGCATTGAACATCCTTATACTCACCACCGAGATGTACAGTTTTGTTAATGTTTTTGCTGTGTTTGCTCTATCACATTAACTTCTCTCAGGGGTCAGCAAACTGGGGGCATCAGTTGGCTGTTTTTAAAATGAGATTTCTACGGCTGCTTTTGGAGTTTGTAGATGGTGTAAATAGTTAATGTACTCAGCTGCTAACTAAAAGTTAGTGGTTTGAGTCTACTCAGCAGCACCTTGGAAGAAAGGCCTGGCGATCTACTGCAAAGAAATCAGCCATTGAAACCCCTTTGGAGTACAGTTTGACTCTGACGCACACTTGGGGTCACCATGAGCCAAAACTGACTCAGTAGCAACTGATAGGGCTGTTTTTGTGCTATCGCAGCAGTTGAATAGTTGAAAAAGAGATCATATGGCCCACAAAGCTAGAAGTATTTACTATCTGGCCCCTTAATTAAAAAGTTGCTAGCCCTTGATACATTCACATATCATGTGACCTTTGGCAGTTTGACTAGATTTCAAGTATGGGGGTCTCGGTTTATCCTTCTGGAGTTGGTTGTGGTTTTTAGCTCTGTAGACTAATGTTTGTTTTGTTTTGTTTTGTTTTAAAATCAAATTTGGGAAGTTTGGGGCTGTTACTTCATTTTGTCGAGTTTTGTGGCTACTTTTGGGGAGTGCTTTGTTGACCTCTTCACTCTCTCGTACCAGAAATGACTCTTGCTGGGCACATGGTTTTGACTCTGAAGAGTCACTTGGAGAGGTGGGTGGTCAACATGACATCAGACAGGAGTGACCTGAACTGAAGAGACTAGGCTGTTGTGGAAGCTCAAGTGAAATGATGTTAGCAATGGTATTGGGGATTAAGGGGAGCGAGCACATGTGAGCTGGGTCAGTAAAGGGTTGTTTTTTTAAGAGGAGCTTTTAAGAAAAGTAGAGCCAATCACATACTCTGAGCAAGTCTCTGAAGTTAAAATAGTTGTGTTTTAGCTAAAGGGCTAGAAGCATTCCCGGAGGAATGGTATAGTAGTTTTGGATGGTAGGAATATTTTTATGCTTAGATTTATATAACTTGTGTAAGTAAAACATTCTTCTGCATTAAGGAGATGATTAGACAGATAAGATTTAATTGGGCATACCTGAGAGATAAAACACCAATTTGAAAAATATATTCCAAAATTAAAGGAGGATGAGTAGAATACATTTGGGGAAATATTGATGATTATTAATGTTGGATGATGAATACATAGGGATTTGTTGTACCATTCTGTCTGTTGTGTGTGTATGGACATTTTCCTATTTTTTTTAAAGTATACACAAGTTAGCTGTTTCTTTGAAACAGTTACTAAGATGGGAAGTAGAGCAGGACAGGAAAATAAAATTGAATTATCCAGTAGTAATCATAATAGTGCCTAAGGCACTTGACTGCTAACCAGAAGGCTGGAGGTTCAAACCCACCAGCCACTCCTCAGAAGGAAGGTTGGGCAATC